AACTTTCCTTTCCCAGCTTCCAGTAAATCGTTACCAGCTGGTGTTTCCTGCTTTGAATCCTTGTTGAACTTGACAGGAAAATCTTCCAACATGTTCTTGACATAGTCGTCCATGCGGATCTTGAGTTATCCTTTCACCGAGAAATCCAAAGTCATTCCAAGATATCTGTGTATCTTTCCTCTGACAATTGTACATGCCTTGATTGAACCATATCTCATGTTCAACCACTTAGCAAATTTGTCATTTACTTTCGGGTCCATGTGACTTGACATAAGATTGTCAACATGAAATCTGATAGTTTGCTGTTTTTCATCAACAACTTCGTTAGCAACACACGGGTCATACGGATTGAAAACAAATCCCTTTGCCTTCAAATCACTTTGAAACTGATTATAGAATAGGAGGCTCTATTGCAACATCCCATATATAGCACGTAGTACCCGCACATAGATTACTCGCTTTCCGTTCTCTAATACAACGTATTTGCGATACTCTGGGGCCATATCAATCAATATCTGGACCATCGTGCCAGTGATTTTCATGTAGATATGATCTTCTCCTTCCTTAGCTTCAGGCATAGAAGTTTGGATGAAAGCGTTAGGAACGTCCATTGTCATTATATCTCTACCTTCGTGTGCATCAATAACACAAGTAGTGGTGATTACTTCTTGCAAAGCAGTCGGACTTGCAGTGTCCTCTCGCGATAACCATTCATGAGTTCCATCGCCTCGGTATACTAGGCGACCTTTAATTGTCTTTTCAAATTGCTTCTCCACGAGTAACATCATCGCTGGTTGGGCCTTCTCTCGCTCAGACGCGGTCATGTCTTTAACAATTTGGGACTGAAACAATCTCTCAGGAGCACTTGTCTCAATTCCTTATCCACAGCACCCTTTCCATCATCACCAAACTTCTTCAGTCCTTGATTGATGTAATACTGTTGAATGAAGTTCAGACCTTCATCAGTATCAAACTTGGCCTTGATCTGCATCATGCAACAAGCGATCAGAATAGCGTC